TCCACCCAATTACTCCCCTAAGACTGATATACACAGACAAACTGAGCTGGCTTTTTTGTCTAACTCTCTCCAGAATGTTCTATCTATACATTTAACTCATTCAACAGTCATTTTTTTCAATTACCCCATTTTGCAGGGGGTAAAATTCCTGAACAGATAGCAGATTTCCTACACCCAGAGTTATTTCATTTGGATACTATATATGTTTGTAAGGGCCACATTGTCGGTTAGCTCAAATATGGCTCCACATATGAAATGCTTTCCATTTCAGCCCACCATCTTAAGATGTTCATAAATATAAGCTTTAATGGGGGCAAGGGCTTTGTTTTGTTAAGAAATAATGTTGGCACATAATAAACCCTCAATAAATATGAATGAATGAATCAAATCATGCTCTGAGAATCCTTGTACATTATGTTAACCCTCCCAATAACTATGTTAATTATCTGTGTTTGATTTTAGAACAGTAAATTATCATCGATTATAAGAATATGAGTCATTATCTACTTCAATGATATCCATTCTTAAAACACAATTAAATGGTTCACTCTCACAAATATTTGGAAAGATGCAAAATCAACAAATTTCTCTGAGGCTTTGGCCACCCAAGTTGTTTAGGAAGAAGACTGGCTTCTGGGCAACTGAACCCTGACTTTTTTTAAAAAATATATATTTTTATTGATTTCAGAGGAGGGAGATAGAGAAACATCAATGATGAGAGAAAAATCATTGATCAGCTGCCTCCTGCATGCCCCCTACTGGGGATCGAGCCCACAACCCGGGTATGTGTCCTTGACTGGAATCGAACCTGGGACCCTTCATTTCCACAGGCCAACAATCTATCCACTGAGCCAAACCAGCTAGGGCTAAATACTAACTTTTGAGAAGCTGGCCTGCTCCCATTCTCCACCTGAATTGTCAGAAGGGCCTAGGGAGGGAAAGGAATGGATCATTGTGTTTAGGGCGCCCCCTGATGTTCAATGATGTTGAGGCTGCTTGGAAAACAGGGGCAGGGCTTTCAGTGGATGAGTGTATTTGGTCAAAGGTCAGGAACTACCCACTGCACTTTCATTCCTAGATAGGACCTTAGGGGTGATTAGTTCAAGCTGACATTGGAAATGGGGAAACTGGTGCCCAAAGAAGTCAAATGTCTCATCCATGGTCACTCAGCTGGTTAAATCTCAAACAGGAAAGAAGCTGTATTCCCTGACCCATACCTCGCATCAAAGGAAACTAAACTCATAATTCCAGTCTCTTCACCCTTTTTATATTTATTTTTTTTGAAAAATTTTTATACATCCTAATTGTTGACAGTATTACAAATGTCTCCCTTACTCCCTCTCTGCCCCCAGGTCTTCACCTTATGGTCCATCTCCATGGGCAATGCCAATGGTCGGCAAACTGCAGCTTGCGAGCCACATGCGGCTCTTTGGCCCCTTGAGTGTGGCTCTTCCACAAAATACCATGTGCGGGCACGCACGTAGAGTGCGATTGAAACTTCGTGGCCCATGCACAGAAGTCGGTGTTTTGTGGAAGAGCCACACTCTTGAAGAAGTGGTTCGGAAGTGGGGGGTGTCGGCGCAGGTGGCCGCGGGATACACAGCGGGGAAGTCATGCACATTGGACTATGCATATAAGTAGGGGTGCATAGGGGAGCATATAATCTGATTGGTGTCGCGGGGGGTTTAGAATATACAGTGGGGCCTTGACTTAAGAGTGTCCCGACTAACGAGTTTTTTGAGATACCAGCTGTCTCTCTGCCAATTTTTTGCATTGAGTTGATAGAGTAATTTGAGTTAACGAGCTCCTTAATGAGCTTAGTCTCGGAACGAATTAAACTCGTAAGTCAAGGCCCCACTGTATTCCTAGAAGTGGAATCACTGGGCCAAATGGCAGTTCCAGTTTTAATTTTTTGAGGAAATTCCATACTGTTTTCCATAATGGCTGCACCAATCTGCATTTCCACCAGCAGTGAACTAGTGTTCCCTTTTCTCCACATCCTCTCCAGCACTTGTTTATTGAAGATAGCCATTCTGGCAGGTGTGAGGTGATATCTCATTGTGGTTTAAATTTGCATTACTCTAATGATTAGTGACCTTGAGCATTTTTTCATATGTCTTTTGGCCATTTGTATGTCCTCTTTGGAGAAGTGTCTATTCAGGTCCTCTGCCCATTTTTTAAGTTGGATTGTCTTTCTTTTGTTCTGAGTACTTTATATATTTTGGAGATTAACCCCTTATAAGATGTATCATTGGCAAATATGTTCTCTCATACAGTGGGTTCCCTTTTCATTTTTTAAAAAAATGTTTTATTGATTTTTTAAGAGAGGGAGAGGGATAGAGTTAGAAACATCGATCAGAGAGAAACATCGATCAGCTGCCTACTGCAAACCCCCTACTGGGGAGGTTTGG